AGCACCACTAGCGGGTCGCGGGGTGGTGTTGTGTTTTAAGTTACTTAAAATTGGGTTGTGTTTAATAATTGAGTTTCCCGGGTTAAAAAGTTACATTTCTTTAATGTGTAGCTAGAGTCTGGTTTTTGTGGTACCTTCAAAATTAGCCACTATATTATTATTACACCAAATTGAGCCGAGACAACATAAAAGTACTAACCTGACGTAATAGTTTTTTTTTATGTAAAGCAAATACAAACATACCTGGTCATATTCACTACTTCATCAATAAATCGGTAATAAATTAATACTTAGTTAAATTATTAAATAAAAAATAAAGGTACCTAGTAAGTTTTTGCTACGAAACTGGGGCATTAAGTAAGAGACACTGTGCGGTGGTACTACGGTTTCCCGTAGAAACTTACGACATCCTAAGACCTCGCCGACCGTTCTGGATAGTTCAGGGACTGATGGTGAATATGTCTTTAGACATAAACTCTGTAATCTATTGTTTACTAAAATCAAATCTGGAGCTTAGATGCATATGGGCGGATGTGCAGGTCGGGCAAATTTTTTTTATTGAATAACAAGGAAAAGCGCTTCTTTCTCTTTCCATAGCACTAAGAGCTGTATTTCTATCTCTTTTCTGGGCTAAGATAATTAAGTGCATAATGTCGGTTTACAGATTTTCTAAAATCATTAGAACCTCAAGGTTTCATTTTCACTTCCTTTTCTCTGCGTCTACATTGCTATATTTTTCTTTTGGTGGATTGAAAATTTGGCCCTTATGCTTAAAAAAAATATTCGCACCAAGGCTACGTAAAAGGAGTCACGCATTTATGGTTCAAACAGTGATTTAAAATATTCATCGTAACTAAACTTCCGATATTATGCATCTAAGATTCCTTTAATAACTTTAAAACGGTTGTAGATATACGACTTTATGCCTTTTGTTTTAGGAACTTTGTAAATGCATTGGTGGGCCAATGTAAAAATAAATCTTTATGGATGTGAACTATTCAAAATATGGCGCCAAAAAATTAGCGACATTGGGCATTATCGGCCACGGCATGTCCAATGACTAACACTGAATTAGTTTAAGTGTAATGAGATACGTTGTGATTGGTCGTTGCGCGATCGTATGTCTGGCCGTCTGTCACTTTGCTCCTTGCACGCATTGTTTGTTTACATTTCGGTGTTTTTGTTTTACCTTCGGTCTGTTGGTGTTTTGTGAAGTGAGAGACACTGAGAAACCTATATCTACTGCAAAGTACAATGATCTGATGACTCTTTCGAAATGAGTTCCTATGGAGTTTCATGTCTACTGTAGAAATCTTACTCATTACGTAAATATTCCCGACTTTCCAGCAAGTGACTAATTAATATACAAAATGCGTCAAAAAAATTGTACCTCTTAGAAAATCATTTTCAAATGTCATTAACTTTTAACATGCACATGTAGTCACAATAATAATGATTCAATTTAAAAATGTTTCTTAATTGACTCAATTAAAAACATTACTTTTCATTATCAAATAAAACCTAGTGCAAAAAATAATGTGTCACAAAAATTCGATGCAAATTTTGCTAGCGGGAGAGTCGCTTGTTGCGTTTCCTTGTGTGGGTATAAAACGGTCCACACGGAGTCAACGCACAGATTTTACTGAAGAAAAATCACCTCGAAGATGGAGACCACAGCTGATGAAGTCGCTCAAGTATTTGCACTACGGCAATTAGGAATGCGGCAGTGTGATGTTGCCCGGCAACTGAGCCTGAACCGTTTTTCCTGTCGAAGAGTATATCAGCGCTTCATAGAGACTGGTGGCTATATCCGGAGACATGGACGTCGCTGCACTTCAGAAAGAGACGACCGTTGAACAGGTCGTCTCTGTCGAACTCTGAGAAATCGTCTCTCTAACGCTGTTGAGTTGCAACAGCAGCTTCAGGCAGTCTGTAGACTACTTCTCTACGGTTAGAAGGAGACTGAAGGAGAAAAGTTAGCGGCCCACAGACCTGCTACGGGTCCCAAATTGACAGCAGCGCATCGGCGAGCCCGCTTACAGTTTGCTCGTGACCACGTCCATTGGACCCTTGAGCAGTGGAGAGCTGTTCTCTTCACAGACGAGACGCGAGTGTGTCTTTTCTGCAACGATCGACGGAGAAGAGTATACCGGAGGCAGTGTGAACGTTTTGCGGAAGCCTGCATCCAGGAGACGGTGGAATATGGGGGCGGGTCCAGCATGTTCTGGGGCGATATGTCGGCTGCCGGCAAAATCGGCCTTATCTGCGTCTTTCGGACTAGAAGTACTCGCGGACAAGGGTCGCTGACTGCTCGCCGCTATGTCACAGAGATCCTAGAAGTGCATGTGGTCCCCTTTGCTGAATCTTTTGGCGAGGGGTTCACATTAATGCACGACAACGGCCGCGCCCACACTGCAGCTATCGTGAGTGACTTCTTACAGAGGTCCCAAATCTCTGTGATGCAGTGGCCAGCGAGAAGTCCGGACTTGAATCCGATAGAGCACCTCTGGGGTCATCTTAAACGCAAGGTTCGATCTCGGGATTCAGCTCCTTCGACTCTACAGGAGCTCCAAGTCGCGGTGATTGATGAATCCCCCCTCCTTATTTAGCTAAGTAAATGCAAAGACAACATTTACATATTGTTTGTACTTATTGAAATATTTGCCGATAAAATTGAATTTTTATTTTATTCTGTCCTGTAAAGTTGGCAAAATCAACATCCGCCCTAATGCTTCTAAGCTCTAGAAATATATCTTGTAATATAAGTATTGAACATGAACTTCACTAGCTACTCGTAGTTACCGTTATGTGCCCGCTTTTTATACTTATATTGTGTCTGCGTCTTTTATTTCATATTATCTTCTTAGGATTTAGGACCAAATAAATTATTTAAATAAAAGAGAAAATGTAATAAAACAACCAAACTGAGTAGGTACTTGTTGTGCTCAGGATCTAAAAGAAACAGTAATCAAAATCAAGGTCTGTATTTATTTACCAAATATAAACATACCGGGTCATATTCACTACCTACTTCATCAATAAGACGGTACTATTTTAATACTTAGTTAAATTATTAAATAAATAAATATACCTAGTAAGTTTTTGCCTCGAGACTGGGGCAGTAAGCTAGAGACACTGCGCTGCTACGGTTTCCCATAGAAACTTACAGCATCCTATGACGTCGCCGACCATTCTGTATAGTTCAGGGTCAATATGTCTTTAGACATAGTCTCTGTAATCTACAGTTTACTAAAATCTAATATATCTTGTATTATCGACGACCTCCGTGGTCGAGTGGTTTGTACGCCGGGTTTCATGGTTTCGCTGACTCGAGAGGTCCCGGGTTCGAATCCCAGTGGGGGCCGATGTTTGTGTGATGAATATGAGCATTTGTACTCCAGTCATGGATGTTTAATATGTATTTCTACATAAATATACTTATATATGTACAATATATATTTATTCTATCCGTTTCCCTAGTATCCCATAACACAAGCCTTATAGTGCTTTCTTTGGAACTAGGCTAATTAGTGTGAGTGTTTAAAAAAAAACAAATATCAACATTGAAAATGAACTTCAGAAATACAATAGGATAGAAATACATAGGATACAAGTTATTAACAATAAAAATTATAACTCCAAGTTATTGTCTAAACCTTAGGATTGAGGCGCTGTATGCTGACATACCTACAGGATGGAAATCCTAGTTCAGCAGCAGATGTTAAAGATTGTCTTTTATATTTATTGTATATGGTGCCTATAATTATTAATAAGACATAATGTTACTTATGCTGGTCTACATAAAGATTATTATTATTACAGATTTATTAATCTGCGGACCATAATCTACTCGAGGAGCTCGATGGCGCCAGTGATTAGCGCGTTCGGCTGCTGTCGTTGAAGTTGAGCAACTTTTGCAGTGGTCGGTCATTGAATGGGTGACCAAAAATTTACTATCTCGAGCTCCACCGTGCTTCGGAATGCACGTTAAGCCGTTGGTCCCGGCTGCATCTGCAGTCGTTAGCACCCACCAACCCAAACTGGGCCCGCATGGTGGATCATGGCCCAATCTCCCTAACCCATCCATAGGGAAGGCCTGTGCCCCAGCAGTGGGGACATTAATAGGCTGATGATGAATCTACGTACAACGCCGTATTCGATGCGATGCTGTTTTAGCTAAGCATCGTTGCACCATTTGTGGTTGTAGACTAGTCCTAAAATCCGGAGGTAGTGTCGCCAGATATAGTATGTTACAATGGTAAAAACTCTGATCTAACTTTCAAATGCAAATGTAGCCTCGATTCAATATCTCTCTTAAGTACAGTCAAGAAGTACGAAGTAGAAGTAAGGTTGAGGTATTTATTATAATAAAACACACCTACTATGCAATACTACAGCAGCGTTTTGATTATGTATGTCATATTATTTTAATTTTATATCAATATTTCTCGATGGTTCTTAAATACTCTCGATAGTTTTATTAAATTTGAAGTCTCTAGGATGCAAACTTCTAATATTTAAGTAAAATACCCGAGTACTTAAGTATAAAAATTAAAAGAAAAATCTGTTGAAGTAGAGTTTCCGTGATTTCCAAAAAAGTAAACAATGTTTCTAAGTGTATGCTTAGGTAGAACCTTGTCAAAACCGAAATTTCACTGAACAATGTTATTAAAATAATAATGTTATAATAAATCAGGTTTACATTCCAAAACATAAATAATCAATAAACTAATTTATCGCAAATAAAGTATATATACAAATACTAGCTGACCCAGCGAACTTCGTAGCGCCCTAAAAAATAGGGGTTGTCCAGCGGACAAAATTGTGAATCTAAACCATTCTCAGATACCCTTGAACACACACAAAAAATTTCATCAAAATCGGTCCAGTCGTTTAAGAGAAGTTCAGTGACATACACACTCACAGAAGAATTATATATATAAAGATGTACGTAATTAACTTTTCCTTTAACAATCTGTGTAAATAAAAGGGACACTTACTTTGTAAAGGATGAGCTGCAGGTCCGATGTCACAATATAATCAAAAACACTAAAACAACATAGAGTCACTGTCGCCACGCGACTACCGGCTTCTTTTTGCGTACTTTTCTCATTGTCTACAGGGATACGAGAAAATCTTCCATTTTCATGACAAATATCTTATTGCTTGCCCCCAGACAGAAATAGTGTAGTGAGAGAAAACGCAACAGAACGCGGCACGGGAGCACGCGAACCCCGGCTATTTATAACCGCTTTCGTGTTTCGCCGCTGAAATTAGACTGTAAATAAAAAGTTTAAGGAGAGTAGGGCCCGGTTAATCCTTTTTGTGGGTCATCTCGCGACAGGATCATGTGGCTGTATTGATAGAACAGTTGAAAGATGATTCGTGAATTCTGATCGGTTTTATTGGACTTGCAGTTATCCGGAAACTTAATTGTGTGCATGCTGTGCGTCACGGCCGTCTTATGTAGGTTACTGCTGTGTATTAATAGTTATGTTAGACATCCTAAACATTAGCTGTGGCATTGTTGCTTAGAATATCTCATGAAAACTTACGTTCCTGATAATCTTCTATAAATGTATCTTAAGAATGTCTCATTTTTGAATAACGTAAAGGTAATTTTTTTGTCAAACCGCCGAAATAGAGCTGATAAACTGATGTTAAGTCAGAAGACATTTCGTTGGTATCTATTCATATTCAGGTCAGTTTGTTAATAAAATTAACGTTATTTTATTTTCTTAAATTAATTCTAAGTGCTACATTTTAACTACTTCACTTAAAACTTGATATAAAGCCCAAGTTAACATTTTAAACTTCTCACTCACGATCTAGAGGGGCAACTATAACAGCACTGTAGTCAAGTAACGAGAGAGTAATTTCACTTGTAAAGTAATGCATGAATTTGTAGGTTAGCCGGCGTACAAGGGCTCGGAGCGAGCAGCCTGTTCCGTGGTGCAGGCCGAACTGGCAGCGGCGAGCCGACTTTCACTGAGGGGGCAACTACCCTTGCCCTCCTGGCTGTCGCTCCCACCACCCCCCAGTGACGTCATAGTCGGCGTCACGACCTACGACGGCGTACAACGCGACGCTGCCGCCGCCCTGTGTTAGCAGGGCTGTCCATTGATTTGGCCACGATTAATCAATATCTAATGTTTTTGGACACAGTAAATGCTTGACAATTGCCGTGACAGTCGCATTGAAAGATGCAGATAAACTAATGTTAAAAGAATAATAAATATTGAAGTATTAAAGAAGACGGTTCAAAACTTACTCATAATAAGGCTCTACAAACAATCATGTTTTTACTGACATGAGTATGAACAATAATAAATAAAGCAATCCTTCTTCAATAGAGTTTACTACTAAACTGACTCCTACGGCATGCCTAGACTAAATCAATAGTTTTTAAATTTGACAGCCCTGAATACCTGGTTCGTAATAACTGCTCGTGAAATGTCGCTGGGCACATTATATAAAGCACAACATACAAAGTATACAGCCTGCGTCAGCACGGCGCGTCACTTAAGCCGGTTAAGGTCACAAAATAAGTTGAAAGGGCACAGTTTAAACATTTAAATTAAAAAATATTTACCAGTTGTTGAGAAAATGGTACGCCAAAGCTCTTATATTTAAAGCCGGTCCTCAAAATTTGGTTCTTCTAAATAGGTACCAGTATCCAATATTAATTTCTGTCGAAAGTTGATTCGGCATTGGTCTCGTTTTTAGGATCCAAGTAACGGCCCACTCCTCTTGATGCCGGTGTCTATTTTTAGATCCAGGTTCAATTCTTGGAAGTTGCTCCCAAACACACAGAATCAGGCTCATCTAGGTAAATAGACACTATTATATACTATACATAATTATATTACCATGGTCTTTCATGCCAAATGAGCGCTGGCCGAGTCTCCCGCCACGCCTGCATCAATGACGTCATCCGCAGAGCTCTTGTTGCAGTCAACGTGCCAGCGGTCCTTGAGCCTAGCGGCATCTTTCGTGACGATGGCAAGAGACCTGACGGAATGACGCTCATTCCGTGGAAGCAGGGTCGCCCTCTTGTGTGGGACGCAACTTGCGCGCGGATACGCTTGCTCCGTGCCACACAGAGAGCACCTCCCTTGCTGCGGGTGCGGCGGCGGACTCTGCTGAATGCTCTAAACGGCGCAAATATTCAGCTCTCAATGAGAACTATATATTTGTGCCGTTTGGTGTTGAGACCATGGGCCCACGGGGTCCAAGCGCTCGTTCCTTTTTTAGGGAAATATCAAAGAGACTCACCGAAGTTACTGGTGATCAAAAGGCTGGCGGCTATCTTGGTCAAGGGATCAGTCTTGCCATTCAACGTGGCAATGCTGCCAGCCTATTGGGCACCATCCCTGACGGCGGCGATGGGGGTGACTTATTTTTTATTTTGTAAATAGGATGTTATTTATAAGTAGGTTTAGAAAATTTGTATTTAAATATTATTTCTTTCTGTACCTATATAATTAAAGAATAAAATAACTATGTAAGGGAGGGAAGCTCACATTATATTTTGATTCCAAGCATTGCAATACATTTTTTTTATGGAAAATATTTAAATGATTACAAAAAAAATTAAAAAGTTCACGAAAAATACAGAAAATTCTAAATTAGGTTGGCAGATGTATTTTTCGGTGATAATTTAATATGTTTGGTGATCGTTTATATATGAGCCAATTTTTATATGTTATTGATTCCTAAATACCTATATAAAAATTTGCCGAAAATAAATTACTTTAATACATATTTTGTGGAGATACCTCTTTCCAAATTTATTACATTTAGTAAAGTTAATCAATTTTTGAAGGCACCATGAAAAAAGGACATTTTTTTAGATACCTTTAAAGAAATAATGGCAGACTTTATTTTGTCAGAGTTAAAATTTGATTTAGTGTCAAAAACTGCGGTCATATGATGTCGATTAGTCGACAGGTGGGAATGTCAAAAAGCCAGCAGTCATGACTGATAGTTGGTTATAAATGCAAATTTCGTCAATCACCATCAATCATCGCATTAGACGATAGGTTATCCATCAGTTGTAGCCTTGACTGTGGCGAAAATGATAACAGTCGATGGGTTACGAACTATTTACATCCTCAAACCAAACGTGTTCTACGCTTTCTTTTGGTTTAATATTAGATCAACAATTGTATAGATAACGGGTTGCATACAAAATCAAAGCTAAAAACTCTACGCGTTTGTTTAAACTTATGCAGCTATATTAGATTTCCAATGAACAAAGATAAATGTTTTAAAACAGTTTAAGTTGAACCTATTAATAACTATCTCACAAAGGAATAAGGTTACAAATAACAAAATGTTATTTCGCACATACGACCTTTTATCTCATGAAACAAACTCTTGTTCCTTTTATAAAATTATATCTGATACTTGGATAAAAACGAAAAAGGTAAAAAAAGGAAAATGTGAAATCAACCTTATCACCCACAAAATAAATTATTTTTTACCAATCATTGGCCAGCGAGTAAATTCGTAAATTAAAATAAGATCTCACGCCTCAGGTGAGGCTATATTTATCGAGACGGATTTTACACGCTGACCCGTTATCTATAGAATTGTTGATTGAAGGGTTTAATCTATATGGGCCCAAGGCTTTGAGTGTCCTTTGTAGATAAAAGTAGCTGAATGTCAAATAAATTTTGGTAGCCATTATCATCCGCCTGCTAATGTTCCCACTGTTTAACGGCAGCCGCGACCAACGGCTTAACGTGCCTTCCGAATCATGGAGAAACTCGTGATTTGAAAAATTTGCTCTTCACTCTTGTCTGTTCTATCTCCGTACCGTACTGCTCAATTATCAATAGCTGTCTTGCACGAGGCTCAACTCAAAAGTGCCTCGGGCTTATTGTACGGCTTACAGGTACTGCGCATGCGTTATCTCAATGCTGCTTTCTCGCTCACAACAATATATTGGAAAAACCATTTCTATTTAATGCAATCTCCTTCGGTTTATGATGTCCTGGTAGCGGGGACGCCCGTGGAAAATTGTTGCCGCCCTACGTCGCGACGTTGGGCGGGTTTGGGCGGAGCGGAGCATTGACTCTACAAGTTCTGTATCATTCGGTAGCAAATGTAAACAAAATACTTGACGATCGCTATTATTTTATTTACCCATGATTAAACTTTGTTTTTTTTTAAAATAATTTTATATCCTCAAGGTCTTATGACTAACGGTGAACGGTATTAATGACGGCCATTCTTATTTCTGTTAGATTTCTTTTATAATCGAGATTAATACCCAAAGTATACAAAAACAGCAATCTGTATATTTGACCACGGTAAGGTAACATAAACATTAGGTTCCTTTATTAAGAATACTATGACGACGTTGATTTCATTATGAACTATATTAGGCGGTCACCATCATAACCGCATAACATCCAAACGGTGTTTAATGTGAAATTATTTAGGAGTGGATATGTGAGTGGCAGTAATACAGATGTGTATTGTCTATGTTCAGGTGCTCCGCCTTTACTGCTTGATCAACCCAAGACTCCAAAAGGTTATGACGTCATTTAATTAGATAACTATGCATGCATATTTTGTTTCTCTTAGTAATTTCTACATAGCGACGCCAAGTAACATGCTTTATTATTCTATGAAGTCCTAGTAATATAGTCAAGTGACGTCGACGAGCCCTGCCCTTCTGCCCAGTGTGGGCGGAGAAAATATTCGTAAGGTGTGTATTTTCCATGCAACCATCAAATTATTAATCAGTATCATGCAAATTTAGACCGTACTTCAAACCTTTACAGTTTCTATTTGAGCATATTATAATGGCTTTTAAGAACAAGTGGTAGAGTCAGCATTATAACTTATATGAAAGGTATCTAAAAGGATTGGTACCAGTATACCATATAAAATAGTAAGGCAGCAAAATTACGATGGACTTAAAGGCCTTTAATATTTTTGGATTAAAATAAAACTTATGTGAATATTCTCAAATAACATATGGGCAATTTACTAAGTGAAACGACCTGTAAATCTTTTGCCTGTTCGGGTCGTATGAGTTCATTGTACAAGATAAACAGTTTTTTGGGTAAGTGAATGTGGCCACGAACTATAATGAGAAAGCTTTAACGGAATTAGACGACCTCCGTGGCCGAGTGGTTTGTACGGTGGGTTTCATGGTTTGTTCGGTGGGGGCAGATGTTTGTGTGATGATTACGAGCATTTGAACTCCAGTCAGTAAATGTTTAATATGTATTTCTATATAAATATAATTATATATGTATCAGTATATGTATTCTATCCGTTTCCCTAGTGTCCCATAACACAAGCCTACAGTCCTTAGTTTAGGGCTAGGCTCATTGGAGTGAGTGTTGGAAATATTTATTTACTTAATAAGTCCATGAGCTAGAGCAATCCTATGATCGAATATTGTTCGTCCACACTTGTATTATATGTTGACATTTTTGTAATGTAATCAGGATGCGATGTAGTAATAAAAAAAATAAAAGACGTTGGCAAAATTCAAGTTAATAGTACATGATCCAAAGACCGCCAGGCCTTACTTATTTTCTCATGGACAAAATATGGATAATAATTGATTAGTATTACTATGCAAAATGAACGTATACATACTTTCTGCCCATGAGAAAATAAGTTTGGTCTGGCGTTTTTGGGATCTTACTCTACAAATAATGAATGTGCTCAAATTACCTATGATAAGATGGGACTAATGTTGGTTAGCAAAATATCTCGCGTAATATATTTCGGATATCGTTTCATAGCGGAGAGTCATTCTCTCTGTAGACCCTCATATAAGATGGATTAAAGATATCAAAAAGTTCGTTGAATTTTTCTTGGAAGTTACTCTTTAAGTTAATATGCGTTATTAGAATGCGTTTTTGCTGTGCTGCTGTTGAGTTGAGGTTTAGTTTCCCATTTCAGCCTGTCGACAGTTATTAAACATTTTATTTTGCTTGACAACGTATCGTAAACTTCCTTTGTTATTTCTGGTTTACAAGGACTGGTAGAGAATGCCGTGTGGCATTAAGTTCGCCATTGGTTTTAAAACAATATGGAGACGATAAATAAACAAATAAAGCTGAAATTGTTAAAACTGTCGAATGTAACTAAAATGAGAAATAAAAGTTTGCTGAAAATGTTTCGTTAAATCGCTAGCAGTCATCGATTTGACACTTAAATGACAAACTCTACGCCGATATTTTCAAACCAAAAGCTAAATTATTGGTAAATGCTTAGAATTATTTTCGTTCACAGAAATAATATGAGGGCTGATTAAACTTATGCTAATAAGTAACAATCGATTTTAGAAAATGCTTTTTAATATAACATTAACGACGCAAATATCTTTTATCTGGAGTATTGAGAGTAGTCTCAGTCTTTTGTATATAATCGAACAACCTCTTCTATACTCCTGTTCTCCTAGTAAAATCGACCTCTGACGCGGACACGTCACCCCTGACGAGGCTGTGATATTCTTGAAGGTCAAATTAATGCCGCAATTACATTTGGTCGTTAGACTTATTCGGGTGTGCGCATAAGACATTACTCAAATTCGGGCACCCGAAGCAATGTTTACACTGGAATACATACTCGTACGTGTCGGGTATACAAAAGAAAACTCGGATACGGGCGTTCTCGACTCCGTTCATTTACCCGAATTCCATTGGCACTCGTATTCGGGCTAGCGACCAAGTGTAATCGCGCTATAAATGCCAAGAGGGATTTAATTCTGCCAAAATTTAATTAGAAGAGCACTGTATTAAAATTTTGATGGATTGCTTGCCAGAAATATTTAATGGCTATACATATGGGAAAGTTTTATAGATTTTTTACTTAATATTTGCGGCGCATTAAAGTTTCTGTGTTTATAACAAAGATATTTATTTATTTGTTATAAGCCCAATTTCGATATGTCTTTTAGGAAATAAGCAACTAGCCTCGGCTACTGCTACTTATAAATGAATCTCTATTTTCCTTGGTCACGCCATGTTTTTATTATATCTGCCATATTTTTTTAGTTGTCTCTTACTTTGTAGAAGTTTATTACTGAAAACAAAACAGTTGCGCAGAAAATATGAAAATTTAATAAGCTCAACTTACTATACTTAGGATTTTCATCAAGGGACGTCGAGCCCGCTAGTATTTTCGGTCATTCCCACGAAAAGGTGTTCTTCGTATAATCGTTACGATTTTTAATTTTCGTTCAAAAACTTGAAAAACACGTTAAAAAAATATTTGGTTTTGGATTTATGCAGACACTTTTGGGCGTGACGAAAATTAAATTCGGAGTGATGGACTTTTAAGAATTTCTTAATAAATTATGAAGTTTCGTTTTATATATAAGACATGCATGAAAATTATTCACATACAAAATCATTGTTCAGATGTGAATGATTGACATGACTAGAAGAAAAATAAACCAGTTGTGTGAAATAGCAAAAAAAAACATCCTCGGTACTTTGATCATACAATTAGCTCAATCGACGATAAACAATTCATTCACTATGAATGTTGCAACAAATAAAATAATCACAAACAGTGGATTTTAGGAATTTTATATTTTCCTTTACGTTTTAGCGTGATGGATTGGATGATGAAAGTGTTGGAGGATGGAGGTGAATTTTTAATTATAAAAAAGGATGGATTCAGCGTAATTATTTGTGAAAAATAGTCATTTAACAGAAAAAAGCAGGCATAATAAAATAAAATTAAATAAGCGAACAGAAATTAGAAAAATCGTAAACCCTGCGAATGAAAATAACTTTCTCTTTCGCTGTCGCAATAAATAATTATTGCGACAGCGAAACACTAGACGTCAACCGCTTCGGTTACTGACGCGGTACTACTGACGTATTCCTAATCAGCGATATGAATAGATATAATTTACTCTTATAAAGAGGTATTCATAATTTCTTAACCAGTGACAGTATTGGGTAGTATGAAAGGACAAGCATATTTTTCGATATATCTACATAAATATACTTGTTAAACTAATAATATTTTTAAAAGCAAAATGTATAAGTATATTCTTTCAAAATATATAGAGTGTAATTTAAATCATGGCTTGTTTTGGAATTATTACAAAGTGTGATTTTGGTTATTAATTACTAATTATTTGATATAATTAGGAAAATAACGAGAATTATAAAAAAAATACACTGCATACTTATATACATAGATAAAAATAAAATTCACACAAACACAGACAAAATAAGTTTTAAAATTTCTTCATTAATATATTCGTCGTCATAGTCGTTGTTATCTTCTTCTACTACTGGTGCACTTTTATTACAATCCTCACCAGAGCACCAAGAACAAGTCCATTGCAATGTAAGCTCTGTCCGTATTAGTTGCAGAGAAATTATACAAAATGTTTTCTTTTTGGTTAATTTAAAAGCTACAATTTTATTCTTTACAGTTTATTTTTATTTTTATTATAGCTAGGTCTGACAAAAAGATGTTACGTGACGGTGAAGTCCAGGCTAATGTTTATATTTATATAATAGTAAAAATGCATATTATTTGACTTATTTGTGAGACTCATCAAAAACTTCGATTTTTTCATCGAAACACTATAATTATATTATATTATATTAGCGAATAACTCGAAAAAAATGTTTTACCAAAAAAACATTTTTTATGCGATTTTAATGAGTATGCGTTTTACTAAGAATTACTTTTTAATCGATTTCTGTAGTTAAAAAGCAATATAACTTTACACCCTGAGATGTGGTGGCTACCACCCCCAGAATAAAAGCGTCCCTCGGCATGATATAATAGATTTGGATCCTAGGGCTATATTACCTATCTTCTGTGAAAATTTCAAGTGAATCCATGTAGGACAAAAATATCGCGACCCAAAATGCTTCATTTCCTGGACTATAAAAGGTAAAAGATAATCTCTAATTCCGTTTCATAGCACCGGACTTAAGTCAACTTGCAGCAAATCTCAATTTAACTAAAACTAAGTTTAAATCTAGTTTTAGTTGAATCAAGATTTAGTAAATTAGCTGCAAGTGGACCATAACAACAAAAATGTCTTAGCAATAAAGTTTGAGTCCTCCTGGGCCACTTGCGCAGTCCAGCGTTAACTCATTTAACTCCCTGTTTAATGCTTACCCTAGTTAATACTAACTATTTAACTCGACGAAATCGGTGCGTCAATTTCTTAACCCCGGTTGTATCAAAGATTATTGAGATTATTAAATCTCAGTCATGAGGAAACGAGGAGGAAGAATTAACAGTACTAACGTAAAACTGCTTGTTTTAAAATAATTGGAATAAGTGCGTGTGATATAATGAATGAGTTTAGTGTGTACTTATAATTCTATGGATGTTTATCTGAAATAAATGATTATTATTATTATTTAGGTGTTCGAGCCTACGCTTGAACCACTTGAGATCTGTCTCTTTCACACGAGTAAAGATGCGTATGCACTGTTGCTGTCTCTTTCACTTAACAAGCAGCGGCGGGTGGTGGTGGCGCGAGCGCGCCGCTTTCTTCAGTACGCTTTCAATCGTCGTGACACTCGCACGTGAAACAAACCTAGGTAAGAAAGAAAAAAAAATTTGTTCGATCTAAAGTCTGACTATAATTTTCTTCCGCTCGGCGCCCTATGGCCCAGCGACGACATATGTGCTCATCGAAGCACAACGCTCTCTGCCGAATCGAGGTGGCGCACAAAACTAGTCGAGACATGTCGGTCGAAATGAGACGACGCGCCGTATGAGTATGAACTCTAGTGAGACGATGCGTCGTACTGGATGAGACGTCACGACGTCTCACGTACCTGATACGACGAGTAGCATGATTTGGGACGATGTCACTTGAATTGAGACGACGATCGGGACGGCGCGTCGCACTGTCGTACTTACTTACTGTTATGACGCCTCGTCGTCTGAGACGACTCTTCATAATCAGAAACGACATTCTTACGGCACGGGGCGCCGTCGCACGAATTAATTTATCACTTCCACCATCATCTCATTGTGGAATTGGTTTCAGATCATGTCGAAATTAACCACGTTGGGAGAGTTAGCTGCGCGGCCGTGCCCTTCAGGTGAAGAGGAAGCCTTGGCAGCTGTCGTTGAGGTACTCGACGAAAATTTCCCTGACAGCTGGCGCTCATGGGAAGTCCACGACTGTTCATTGCAGGACCTATTCGGGGACGACAAGGTTCCCTCGAAGTTGGAGTCCAAACTAAGGTTTGCAATCCCTTCGATAGACCTATGCCGGGCATTTGACCCAAATTGCAGCTCATTATCCGAAAGAAAATACAGGCATATAAGGGCAAAGATCTTAAACTGGCCTCTAGGTCGAGCTTTGCTTTACTCGCCACATTTTATTGTTCCAAAAGTATATGGTTCTGGGAAATATTATTTCGCCTTCATGGATACAGTTCGTGATATTAAGAATAAAATAACTAGCCGCAAAAACGTATCTTCTGAACTCCAAGATAGCCATCAGGAAAAACCTTCAGTTAGCAGCACTCACACCTCTCCGGTAGCTAATAACATAAATGAATCTGAATACCGAATAGGCGATCACCTGCCCCAAATTGTGTAGAAAATTCTGAGCATCACACGTCAAGAAAAAGGCGACACGAATCAATCACAGAAGATAACAGCGCATCCACAAAACGCTCTGCTTATTCCCATAGCTTCGGAAGCAACGATCACCTATTAGTGACTGTGCTTAACCAACAAATGGAAATGTTTAATCGCTTAATAGACATACAAAATAAACAAAGCAATAATATTGACAAAATCTTATCTAGCTCTCTACCGAAAAATATTCCTAAAACACCTGATCTTAATTCATCTTTTGAATCCCTTCCTGATAGTACGCACTCTGAGATCAACGTAGAACTACCTTTATATAAAACGCCCAACGAAACTTGCCTGTCAGATGATGACCGTTCCCTAAAGGAATCCGAACTGCGATCAAGAATTTGTGAAGCTCAAAGAGAACTTGCCCTACTGCAATCAGGACAAAGTGAGGCATTTGACTTCAACCCTTCTACAACTTCAGCGGAACCCAAGGTATCAAAAACCGATCCACTCTTCCTAAAGCAAGGTATTAACTGCCAACGCTTCGGACAAGAAGGATGGCGTGACGACAGTTTCAGGCATCACCGGCGTTCTCTGCCCTCAGAGTCAACAACCTCCTTGCCAACGTATCACCTCCTTGGAAATCAACCAGTGTACTTGAAAAATTCGACCTAACCTTAAGAGCAATCACTCACGGGCTCCTCCAACAAAGGAAAATATTTCAGGATATGTTAGATAAGCTACCTCGTGAGCTGAGAACAAAAGTTGGCAATGAACTTCTAACCACAGACTCCCAATTTAAAAAGAAATCTGACGCTCTTTTACAATACGTGTGCGGTCGCCGAGCAGAAATTATAGAACAAAGAAGAGGCGTTTACAAGGTACAAAGTAAAGCACTTAATGAAATTTTACATAACATTCCTCTCTCAGAGACGCACCTTTTCTCCGATGATGCATTGACTGAAGCAGTTAAGGCCTGCTCGAATAACGATATTCGAAGGTTTTTTGCCTACTCCAATCGTACGAAATCTGCTAATTTTCGCACAAGAGAAAGATTTAAAACTACCCGGACGCAAACAACAAAAAATAATGACCGCAATACAAGAGGATTCAGCGAAGCTGCTCGCAATGCCTTCAAGCAGACTCGACCAAGAACACAGCCTCAGCCTCAGCTCCGACAACAACAATTCCAAGCGAAGAGAAACTGGGGAAGCGGCAAAAGAAACGACTTCACAGCGGGACGCCTACACGAATACTTGCAACGTTGGAATATGGCGCCAAAACTAGTCCAACAATTCATCCAAGGATACAGAATTCCTTTCCTTCTAAAACCACCGACCCACAAATTCTCAGCTTCAAATATTCATTGGTTCCGAACCAAAGAGTCACCAGGAATGCACGAACAAATTCAAAACCTTTTGAATTCAAAATCAATCGAGAAGAGTCCATACCAGAGCGGTTTTTTATCCGAAATGTTCCTTCGGAAAAAGAAAGACGGGTCGTTCCGACCTATTCTCAATTTGAAGGGCCTGAACCGCTACGTTCTGGCACCAAAGTTTCGCCTTCTCAACCATTTCAAAATTCCGACGTTTCTAGGCAGCAAGAGTTACATGATGAAATTAGACCTATCGCAGGCTTATTTTCATTTGCCAGTAGCATCAAGTCATCGGCGTTACCTGTCCCTCAGTTATCAAGGAAATATATTTCAAATGACATGCCTACCATTCGGATTGGCGAGCGCACCAGCAGCCTTCGCCAAAGTCACCAACTGGATAGCACACACACTGCGACAACGTGGGATAAAAATATTGGTCTATTTAGACGATTTCTTGCTTATACACGAAGACCCCGTAACATTGGAATCTCAAATGAATTACGTAACCACGTTTTTAGAGGAATTAGGTTGGCTTATAAATTACAAAAAATATTCCTCGAAACCCACAACAAACATAGAGTATCTAGGCGTAATATGGGACACAAAAATGAATTTAAAACATCTGTCACAGCAGAAGACAGAAGACCTAAAACATCACCTAGAATCTCTGATACGGAAAAAACGATGGAGCTGGCACGATGCGAAAGTCATTTTAGGAAAACTAAACTTTGCTGCCTTCACAGTTCCGATGGGCCGCCTCCACAGCCGTATTCTGCAGAGAGAATCAAACCACTTACCAGCCACGAAGCCCTATGTCCGAGTTCCCATTTCACCCCGGGCCCTAGAAGAGCTAATATGGTGGAAGTTGAATGCCTGCAAACCCTCGATGATACACATTCCGGACCCATCAATCTTTGTTACAACGGATGCGGCCGACGAGGGTTGGGGTGCTGTTGTGAACGGTCAGAAACTCTGGGGTACTTGGACAAAAGCTCAGAAGAAGTGGCACAGCAATCAAAAAGAACTCCATGCCCTATTCGAAGCCCTACTAAAAGTCGCTCATATGTTAGAAGGCAGAACGGTTATGCTACAATCGGACAATCAGACTGCAGTATCATATATCATGAAGGAGGGGGGAACAAAGTCACTAATACTCCTGAAAACGACACAAAAAATATTGAACTTCACTCATCAGCATCGCTGTCATCTAATTGCACGACATATACCAGGAATCTACAACGGTCTAGCAGACGGTTTATCTCGGGGCAAAGGTCTTCCGGAATGGCACCTGAAACGAGAAGTATTTCGACCAATATTCCAGAAGCTAGGCACTCCCACGATCGACCTATTTGCCTCCGCAAGATCTGCAATTGTACCGAACTATGTCAGCGAAGATGCGAAGGACATGCACAGCCTCTTTACAGACGCGTTCAGCCAAACCTGGAATTTTCATCTAGGATGGATATTCCCTCCACCTTCAATGTTACCACGAGTAATACGGTATCTCAGAACTTCACAGGGCATATACCTAATAGTAGCTCCCAGCTGGACCAGGGCATTTTGGGAACCAGAACTGAGGAGGATGGCAATATGTCCACCACTTCAAATACCAGACCTGAAAATGAACCTAATCGACCTTCAAACCAATCTCCCCCCACAGAATGTGGAAAATCTAAATTTGTTGGTTTGGAAGGTACAGGCTGGAACAAGTATTTACAGGACTGGTCTCCAATAGACATTGGTATATTAGAGACTTCGTGGAGGAAATCCTCTTTGAAAACTTACAAACCCATATGGTCACGGTGGCATAGATGGGCTCGTTCTAACAACATCTCCTCTGATAATCCTTTCCCATCAGACCTAGCAAAGTATTTGTGTCATCTGCACAATGATATAAAACTTTCTCCCCGCATCATCGCCTTGCATAAATCAGCAATTGCCACGCTATCTAATCCCCAAAAATCAACTGAACTAGGATCGCACCCTTTAATAAAACGAATTTTAAAAGCAATCTCTTCATCAAAACCGCAAGTAAGAAAACTCATTCCCTGGAAAATAAAAGATCTTTTGAACTTTCTTATGACGTATGACATAGACGAGACTAACATGTTCCAAACATATAGACACACCTGCGTTATACTACTGTTAGCCTCCGGACGAAGAGTACACGATCTCACCTTATTGAGTGTAGACAAGGAATCATTTATAAACAAAGAAGATGAAATACTTATCTGGCCGAAGTTTGGTTCTAAAACAGATTCAAGCTCATACAGACAATCAGCATGGGTACTAAAGAATAACAACAGCGTAGATCGCTTAAACCTTGCAAAATGGATTAGAAATTCTGTGACAGTTTCTCGCGAACGTAGACAGGGGAAGAATCTGGAAAACCTCTTCATTACCACAAGGGGAAGAGTAAAGAACGCATCTCTCTCTGTGATTGCAGGTTGGATTCGCTCCCTATTCCGAGAAGCAGGCATTTCTGCTTCTGCTGGCAGCTTTAGAGCAGTGGTTGCATCTGAAAACTGGACAAACAACAGATACGATATCGACGAAATCCTTAAAAGGGGAAATTGGAGATCAAGAAACACTTTCTTCAACCACTATTTTAGGGAAATACCGGTAAACATAACCCAAAATAATTGTGCTTTTGAAACCCTAAGTAATGATTTCAGTACCTTATAATCATAAATAAGAATAGTCGTTTAAATTAAGGTAGAATGTTGTTCCTTATTTTTATTTTGTTTACTTTCGATTGTTATCGCATTGATTAATTTTCCGTTCTTTGTTTGTTGTATCAAAACACAAATTAAAAAGTGCTCTGTTTCGTTACATATATTCTTTCCTTTAAGTGTCCTTTTACAAGACTCCTATAATAAAATATCACAGTACGCAAAAGCAGCGCCGGCAGAATATAAACACGTCTCAAGTGGTTCAAGCGTAGGCTCGAACACCTAAATAGAACCGTTTTCCCCCCGTAGGGAAGAAAACGGATATTTAGGTTTCAGCCGTAGCTTGAACCACACCTTCAGGGTCCTTGCCGGCCGCCTTCAAAAGTACTGAAGAAAGCGGCGCGCTCGCGCCACCACCACCCGCCGCTGCTTGTTAAGTGAAAGAGACAGCAACAGTGCATACGCATCTTTACTCGTGTGAAAGAGACAGATATATGAGTGTGAGTGACGATTTCCTTAAGCGTAATCTCAAGTGGTTCAAGCTACGGCTGAAACCTAAATATCCGTTTTCTTCCCTACGGGGGGAAAACGGTTCTATTGTAATGCTTTGTCTACAATAAATCCATTTTTTTTACTAAATTGTAAAGAAAAATTGATAATGAGTTTTTCTATATTCAGAATGGAGGTCAAGCATGAATAAAAACATTTTTTAATTTCAATTAAGTATCATGTGTCATAGATGTTATCTTGTTGAGGTCTTGCAACTTATGCATAAATATAAAATGATTGTATATATACTCAGTAAAATTGTAGTTAGCTGAAAAAAACAGTCAATGTGTAACTGATAAACTTCAGAGAGAAAGGCGCCCCCTTATATTCGGCGCTCTGGGCGGTCGCTCAACCGCGTCCACCCCCCTAAGTCGCTACTGGTCCAGACGCGAAAATAGCTAGTGCAGCAGTTACAGCTGCCACGCCAACCACCTTCACCTTGCCGGTTTGGATAGATGCTTCTTCACGCCTCTTTTAAAGCTTACCAGATTGTAGGATGGAGGGAACATGTGTCGGCAAACAAAAGTGTATCTTTTTTCAGTAATAAATAAATATTTATGTGAAGGAGATGTTCTAATTATTTTGATAAACTTATTTTTATTTTAAGAATTATACGGTTAATTTTGTAATAACTGAATAAATTTTATTAGAAAAAATTTGCTTTGTAATTGTTTTGTTAATAATTTTTAAGTAGTCTTAGAATGTTAAAATTTATTAATTTTAAGAAATAAGAGGGAAACACCTATCTATGTTTGTAATATTAATTGTAAACTTCAAGAACTTTAAATTGGTTTTAACAGCTTTGAACACATTTTTTTATTTGTTTTATTGATTATCTCTGTTTTCGTGTTATCGAATCATACTAAATAATTATCAAAACTATAGGTGTGATGACGGGGCAAAGTAAATATTTTTTTTTTGTTATCGTCCGGGATCATTTGTTGAGTGCCAGTCAACCCTTCACACACGCATCCCCTTATCTCCCCCTCACGTGTGCATTGTGTGACACGTCAGCGTTTCTATGTGACCCCTTGTACTAGGACTTCATAAAAATGAAGAGATCGTTCAACCCTCGGTAATCCACCCCAGCAGACAAATTTATTGATCACGCTATTTCTGTTTTAACATTAATATTTATTTTTATTTATCACCTTCCGTTAGTGATAATAATAAAGGTTGAAATTGGCTACTTATTTATAATTTTATTGATAATTTACGGGTAATCATGGTTACAACATTTAAATATATTTTTACTTCCATCCGATTTACTGTGACTAGGTTTAGTACTGTTATAATTATAATATTTTATAAACAAATTCATGCAAGTTTCATAATATCGCGTGATCGCGGAGCATTCAAGCGATCGCTTTTAACGACCGCTTCAATCCCTTGTTTCGTGAAACGCACGCTTTTCAACAAAATGGCGCTCACGGAATCATTTGCTACAGCTTTGACTAGGGAGGCATAAATAGTAGGCGGTTTCCGTTACTAGCCTGCTACGTACGTAGTGGCTCATATTGCTACGCTACGAGAATTCTACGAAGGCTACAAGTTTTGACTAAAAAACAAAAGGTTTTACTCATGGTGCTATATGTATATAGTGTAGTGTAATCAATACGATATATGAGTAACAGTTATTCGTATTAGTAGAATTTTTATTTTATTTTCAGTCCATAATTAAATTTTTCTTTATGATTATGTTAGGTTATTGTTTCTTTATGAATATGTTTACTAAAAGAACTTCTTTATACCGGGCTGGAATTATATTATTTTTACTATCCAGGAGAATACAGCACATACTGCCGGGATTGTAATGGACGTGTCAAATTGTATGAAGCATAATAGTATTGAGATACAAAAATCTTTAAAATTAAATACATTTTCTGTAGGTGGCCGTGTTGAGAAGAGAAGAAGACACAAACATCTCAAATAAAATACCTACCTATACCACAGAAGCCCTAAACAAATTGTTATTTATTTATTTATTCTTTATTACCATAAAAACTATAAATGGCGGACTGAATGCCTTTGGCAGTTCTCTACCAGTCAGTCAGTATTATATAACTCTAAAGCGCTGTACCATTGATATTCTGCCAACTAACTTCTCAAAGGATTTATAACGTGAAGCTATGTAAGTAAGTATGCACTAAAGCAAGTTTACACGCAGCTAGTGCGCTGTCATCAGTGGCATAAGCCAGTTGATATGACCCTTGTTGTTTAGACGAGGCCAATCATTTCAGGATTCTCTTATATCACTGCTCAACAGAATTATATTCTTCTTCAGGTTTCATTATTTGCGTTTCTTTATTTCATCATAACTCCTGAATGCCTGATCAGAATTGAATTAAGAATGTTTTGTTAAAATCTCTACACTATACAAGAACTACATTGGCTATGTTGTCCATAAAAAAATAATAGCGGAGTAAATGTGTTAAAATAATATAATAGAAATTAAAAATAAATAAATAAACTTTCTGGAAACTATTTACGAAAATTTGATGATAATATCATTTTGCATAATTATATTTTAATAATAATAAGCATGTTAATGGAGCTTTCTATTAATAAATAAAATTACACATATATTTATGATTCAGAATATAGTTCACACATTAGTGAAGTAAAAATATTATTGCATTACTATTATTGTCTATCAATGTGTTGAGGTAAATTGAACATGCATAGAATCTCACGAGCGATGCGCATGACGTCACTACCAACTCCCACCCCTTGCGATAGTTGGCCAAAACTATTCCTACTTGTTTGATATCATGCAACCCTGTTGCCCTGCACTAGCTTTCGCGGGGCAACCGCGTAAGTTGGTTTGTTGGCGCCAAAACAGGGAGCTCTTGATGTGTCATTTTACCCTGGTATAATCGTAGCAAAGGCGTTACGTCACCATGGAAATTTACTCAAACATTTTCTGAAGGGGTGTGATGTGTGAATCGAATAGGAGCCAAGGACCAACGCAATTATTTTGCTGTTTGGAGTGTTTTCATGAAGTTTGGAAGGTTTGAAAGCAACGACTATGAGAATTAATTTTTGTGTTTTTTTACTATATAATATAATAACTATGGTAAAGATGCCAAATGAAAAGCGAAACAGTTATTTAAGTAGCAGAATTGAAATATTTCTATTAAATATTTTTACGACAATTATTATGAATCATTCTTATTGTCAACCATAACAAGCTGCTCCTCAGTCCTAGAACACGTGGAATAATAGTTTTATTATATTACCGTATTGGGGAATATGGTTGAAAACCGGTATTATTAGTTAGAGTAGCGGTACTCTGCGGAGACTTCAAAAAATTCACTTATCTAACTGAATACAAATTTTGAATGAACATTTTTGCATTCGTACGCAATTTAGTATGGCATGTTATTGCAACTCGAAAAACAAGTTCATAATATATAAGTACCTACCACCTTATAGATAAAATGTATTGAGCTAACCTTTTGCGTGTGTATTTTTAAAATATACTCATATATACTATATATATACACATTTACAAAATAGTGAAACAGAATGAAAAACAAGCTCGTTTTGGTGGTACGTGGAAACTCGAACTTGTTGGTGTCGACTAGAAAACGGGACACATTCATAATTTTATGATTCTCTGGTAGTAATAACCTCCGGAACATTCAGGCCTCGATCGAAACACGTGCCAGTAGGTGATAGAGATAGATAACTAACTCCAATATGGTTGGCAATATTCTTTCAATTAATTCTTCATTTAATTTGATCTTTATTTTTACACAAATGGTGCTATCATGATGAAAAAGATAGATGATGATGATGGTTTAGGCACCCATAGATTATAGATTTTTTATTACGAAGGAAGATTGAGCTTCCAAAGCGAGTAACATGTGGGTAATGTCATAGGCAAGAAATGCATTGCTTCATTTTAGCC